GAGTTGGCTCCAGCCAGCAACCAGCAACCAGTCAGCAAACGGCAGCCGGCAAGCAACAAACCAGTTTTCCAAAGGCTTTTGCCGACCCGTCAATTGCCTTCGTCCATTCCTCCCGGATTGCTGGACTATCGTGCATTCGAGACCCAAAAGCCGTCAAGTCTCTGAATTTATTGCACTTCCTTTTGCATATAACTTTCAAATTAATTGCCGCTTCATGTAAATTAATATATTTTCTGCAGCGTTTAGTAGCTCGGAAAAAGAGATTTGCATTCGTCCATTATATTCTGAAATGCATTTGATTTCCTACTTCACATATCCTGCACTCTGTAGTTATCGAATTTCAATGGCATGAGCTGCCGAGTTGATCTATGCAAGTGCGACAGTCTGGTATAAAGATATGTCTTTTTTGCCAAAGTATTTGGCTTGTACTGAGTGACCAATTTAGAGTTATAGTAGAAATTGTTGCATTAAAAGATAAATGATTTGAATTGTTGTTGCTTCTAGGCTGTGATAGGTTTTGGATGATCTGTTCGGCTTGTTACTGCGAACTAAGATTGACTATGGAGAAGTTACTTCCAGCTGCATGAACTTGGTGGATGAGAGGTCGATGTGAGATCGTTGAATTGTTCATTTCTGGTTCAGAACTGCCAGTGTTACATTGCTTCTATTTTTGATCATTAAAATTTATTATCAATTGAATTATTCACGAAACTCTTTCCACACATTCAGCAGGCGTAAGACGTTGCATAATTAAAAGGCGAATCGTTCTATATATTTCAACAATCTGTTGTTATTGGGAATTTAAACAAATGCTGATATATAGCTATCGGAAATATTATTATTCTTGTTTGGTAACATTAACTTTATATGACATAAATAGAAACTTTCAATTTGGAATTCTTCTTTGGCTAAAATCGGTTTTTAGTTCTTTGAGCATAGCTAAAAAATTGAAGACGTCGACAACTATAATAGATGGAGTTTGTGTGCAATCAATAGTAATTTAAATACATTAAATAGTCTATCTTATATTATAATGCAATATACCATTTTTAAATAAGACGTTGTATACTTTGCTAAACAAATCCTTGCCGTATTAGAAATTCAATCAAAATAATTATATTAAATCATTTAAGTCTTGCACTTTTTAATAATAAATAATATTCTTACTTTTTCATAATTGCTGTAAATAAAGGAAGCAAATGTGCATCATAGGCAATAAGTTGCATATTATTTTTCATGCTTGTTCATTATCATGAAGGTGCCGCTTAGATCAGATCATACTATATACTTATATATATGTACAAATCCAGCTATGTATACATATTGAATGCTCGATATTAACTGATATTTCTAACCACAAAATCTTATAGGCAAAAAAATTAACTTTCCAATTTGATGAGAATATTTAATTTTAATTTTATAATATAGCTTTAAATATAAATTATATGCCTGTGATTGCATTTTGCCTTAGAACACCATCATCAAAGTCTTTTTAAGTATTTTCAATTTAATTATTATAAAGTTCTGGAGCTACAACATTTTAGATAACTTTATTATTAAATTCAATTAATAATTAAAAGTCGATATTTATTGTAGTAAATATATATTCTATATTTTTAAGTATTTTAAATTTGATCATTATATTACAAATTGTTTCACATTTCTATTTTTAACTTCCGTTTGGAAGCTATTCATCTCTTTGTCTTAAGTTTTCCATATGGAATCTCGCATCTATTTAAGATACTTATTCAGTTCATCTGTCTTTCGTTTACACTCTTTCATGGCTACTGCTACTGATTGTGTCCTGCTGTATACCTGACAGCCGCTTCCTGTGCCTGTGCATCTCATCTGTCTTGGCCAGGACACTGTCTGTCGCTGTTCGCAGCAGTTCCTGTGGACCCCCTTATTTGGCTATCTGCCTGCCTATCGATTCTCTGGCCGTCTCTTTGCTGACGGCTCATTAGCATGTGTGCGTGCTCGCTTTGTGTGTGTGCGTGTGTGTGCGTGCTAACCCCTCTGCCCCCTCCGTTTGTCAGCCTGTCAGCCGCTTCGCCATTAATTTCGCCAGCCATGCAGAGCCGCGCTTCGGCGCGCCTCGAGCTCAGAGAAAACTAACCTAACCTGCAGTGTAATGCGTTGTATTGTTCACGCAAAATTTATTTCCGCTGCGTCATGAACATCCTGCTGTCGTCGCTGATGTGGGGGTATGTTGCAGTTGTTGTTGTTGTTGTTGCTGTTGTTAATTTACGTAATAAATACGCTTGAAAATTTTGCACGCACATGCAAAATGAATTACGTCGCTTGACGTTGGCGCAGTAGCAACAGCAGCAGCAGCAGCAACAACAACGACAGCAACTTAACTGTCACTTGTCACAGGAACGTTTCGTGGGGGCCCTTGGCAGCATGTCCTGGCAGAGCTGACGGAGCTGGCGGAGCCGGCGACGTTCTCGTCGTCTCTCACATGTCAACGCGCGTCGCTTTGCTTGGCATTTTTGTGATGTGAAATGAAGCAACGAGGTGACAGCCAAGGGGAGTTGCTGTTGCTGCTGCTGCTGCTGCTGCAACCAGCAACAGCAGTACAAAATGAATTACTCGCGTGAACAACAAAAACTGTCAGAGGGCTGTCAGCTATGCTATGGCGCAGGGGCGGCGTTGTGGCTCAATGCTGTTGTTGTCATTGCTGCATGCGCGTGTGTGCATGTGTGTGTGTGTGTGCGAGTGTGAGGTGTCAGCGCATCACATTTGAAATGCTCAAACACACGCACACAGTCACAGAGAGCAGTTAACAACCAACAGTCAACTGCGACACGCTGGCAACATGGCAGCAGCAGCAGCAACCGGCAGCAGCCACTGGCAACATGTTGCCAGAGCTACATGCGTGCCTCCTTCTATGGCACACTCCACAAGTGATTATCTTACCTAAATTGCTTGTAGCAATCCACCAAATTTGACGTCTTCGCATCTCAGGGCGTTGCTGTCTTTGCGTTTGGTTTTTTTTCTCTCTTTTCCTTTGCCTTGACGCTGCTGTCGCAATTTTCATTTTCGCACTCCATTATAAAGTAATTTTTTTACATTACTTATGCCTGTCAACGTCTGCTTTGACTGCTTTTCCTGTTTCCGCAGCAACGCCTCGTCCTTAGCCGCGTATCCTTCGTTGCTGGCAAAGATTAATATGTTGACGCTCTGCCATTTCCTGGCCGCACTTTTAGCTCACTTTTGTTTGCTGGCTCCACCTCCAGCTGCAGCCCAGCTCCAGCTTCAACGCCGCCTGAGCTGCCGCGTGTGTGACAGTTTGCAAATGTGATTGACAACTGACACTTCCATATAAATTTAAAGCTTTCACACACACACACAGCAAGCTGCGCGTTGACAGTCGACACAACACATTGCAACCGAAGTACGGGCCGCCTCGGAGCCCTGACAAGCTCTGAATGACTGGCTGACTGACTGACTGTCTGTCTGACTGAGTGACTGACGGCCTGACTGATGGGCGTTACGACTCCGAACGACGACGTCTGATGGACAGCCTGCCAGCAGTAGGGCGTGTTTTGCCATCAAGCAGCCAGCTCAGCTGGAAACAGCAAATGGCCATGTCTACCAATTACAGAAACCAACTTCTAATAGAGATGTGTAATGGCCCAGCGCAAGCCACGAAATGTATTAAAACCACAATTAAAACAAGTAACTCTGATCTAACAGTTCTATGCGAATTTGCATACTCTGCACGCAGATCCAATCTGCAATGAGTCAATACGTTTTATTTTCATTTAAATGGAACTCATATTAAAAGGGCAAATTCTTGAAATAATTAATATTTAAGAGCAACCTAGTTTATATTTTGTTGATTTAGATATCAAAAATATGATTTTATGAAGTCGAACAATCGGAAAGGAAATCTGATTCCATGAGCTTATTTAACATTCGATTCTATAAGAATAACTTAGCTTAGAGATTTGACTGACATGTATCTGTACATACTACATACATTAATTAGCAGTTTATTATGATGTATGAACAATAAAAATACTGTATGTGTATGCACAATAATAATACTTAATAATACTTTCGTCTATTATTTGTAGATCTTCAATTTCTTCTTCATTTTATATGCGATCTCAGCACAAAAAGAGTCTATTGATATACAGCACTCTCTGTCTATTTGTCTACATGGCTTTATTTAGACCAACTTTACCTAAAATTGTCAAGATTATATTACACGATTCCAATCATGAATCATACAACAAATTGAACAAGTTTTCTAAAGGTCCATCTTTTCTAGACTTAGCAATCTGAATGGAACGACCCGTGTATTCTCGAGTTTTTAAATAAAACTTGTGAGTACTTTAAGATAGACATAGGGAGACCTCTTTTATTTTTGTTATTATTATTATTTGATTTTAGATTTTGTAATAAATGCTCATCTAACTGCAAGATTTTTATTTATTTTGCTGTCAAATAACGTTTGATAAGTCAACAAATATTTATGTAATTTCAGAACGATTTATGATTGTAATAATTATTTATTATTATATATTGTGTATTGTAGACTAGCTCATTTGTAACATAGCCAATGGATACAAATATCCTTATTATATATAAATATTTTATAATATACATTTTTTAAATAAATATATAATAATATAAAGCAGTTGCTATTTCAATTATTATTCAATTATTATTTTATTTATTATTAGTACACCAGAAATTGAGCAAGCTAGAGTCATACTTTTATCAATAACTATTTTAGAGTAACTGTTTGTGTTATTGATAAAATCCAGCAAAATACAAATGCTTATCAGATTTTCCATTTCTCATCATAAGATGACCTGTTTGGTCAAACCCACTTTCTATAGCCACAGTCGATAATTTAGATTTTAAATAATGTGCTTAAGATACATGATGATCAGATTAAAAATGAATGCTAGTAAAACAATATTTATATAGAACTATTTATTTATTTATTTATTTATTTTAAGTCAGACAATAAATAAACAGTTCTACTTTAGCGTGGGATTGACTGAAGTTGTGCTTGTTCTTATTGGCTGAGCAAGCGTCGATTTTTGAACAATTTTTTACTCGATGTATGCTTAGCTGCTTCCTGTGCTTACAATTGTTTCCCATGCGCGTTGATTTGGACAATTATCATGACTACTTCCGCTATCAGAGCCGAGGCAAACTCAAATTACGGTCTAATTGCTATTTAGAGTTTGGGCTTCTGTCGAGTCGACGCAATGTCCCATTATTCAAACATCAGCCATAAATGCTGACATGACCGGGTTGATAATAGACTCATCACCGGACTCTCTGCGCACCTGGCATCGGGCGTCTCATCATCATTATCATCGTCGTCGTCCGGGGCACAGCAGGTAGCCGGCACCACATGGCAAGTGGGAGCCCATTTGGTGGAACCTGTCGCTCGTGCTGACGACAAATGTCTCGGGCAAATGCAGTGAACGGAAGTGACATGACAGAAATCCCTGGCAGCTCGAGAAAAACTTGATTATAAATGTTGAGGCCGTGCAGAAAATAAAACTAATAAATTGATGCTGATCAGATGCTGCCCGACCCAACCAACGGCCATGACAATGACAAAATCAACTCGCCTGACAATGCTGAAAGTGACAAAGACAATGCCGCTGAATGACAGCTCAGCAACTGACTAGATAGAACAGGCCGAGACGCAGGCCATGGCCATGGCCATGGCAATTGTCGTTGTAATCGGAAATGCGAGTGAGAAGTCTCGGCGTGACTTGTCAACTGAGCATCATCAGCACTTTGCCTGCAATGGCGATGATGTGGCTTCTGTTTGTTTACTTACAGTTTCAATGAGCGATGCACTGGCAAATGTGGACTGATGTGGACTGCACACATTCCATCAATCATCCGTATCATGGAAATTAAATTTCAAATTATACTACAATTTTCTTTCGTCTTTAGCCAATTTAGTTAGAGTTGTTCTGCGCTGTTCTCTGTTTCTTATTCGATACAGGCGCTCATCAGTTAGCCTTCGTTGTCTATTGACTCGACAGTCAGTCAATCAGGCATTCAATCATTCAGCCATTGCGACTGTTGTCACTCACTCACTGCCGAGTTGCATGTGGCAGCCTCCACGTTGCACGTTTCATGCTACGCTACAGTGACAGCAGAACTGATATTTGCCTGACACTTGAGATTGATTGTCATCCATCAAGAGAACTGCCTCTCGTCTGCTGTCTGCTGTCCGCCAGAGCGAGGGCACGACTGGAAGGGCGAGGATGCGTCTTTTGCATTTCAAATTTACATGCAAATCTCTGTTGGCCTTGCAAAACATTTTGGGCGTTGTGCACAGTTTATATTCAATTACGAAGCTGCCACAGCCAGTTCCTGTGCTGACCACAGAAGTTCGGCAGCTTATAAGAGGCAACATCTCCATTACGCTCGCAGCAGCTGCCGTGGCATAATAATCAAAGACTGCCAGGCTGCCAGATCATATTCAGACTTGACATGTGCTGGTCAGCCAACCGCAGAAAGAAGCTCAATCTTGAGTCAGCTGGCCATAATTGGCGTCGCCTCAGGCTCAACAGATTGTTCTTAATGCGAAATGCTTTTGGCCGGGGATCGAGCAAGTAGCGCATAAAGAAATTGAATTCATTAAACATTAGCTTCCTGACACGATTGCCAGCACTGAACTCGGTCAGTGGAGGCCTTAAAACATTTAGTGTCGCAATATGCAAATACATAAATTTTATGCACAGATCCGAGCGCAGTTCCAACCTCCAACTTCCAGCTTTCAAGTCCTCAGCCGGCAGGCCACATTTACCAGTCGCCAGTCGCCAGTCGACAGTCTCCAGGCGTCGTGTTGGGGAACAGAAGACATACACACGCGATAAAGAAATTCGATTAGGCATCAATTTTAAATGAGACGCACTTCCCTGCTGGTGCCTGGTGGCTGTTGACTGTTGGCTGCCTGGTGCTGGCGGGCCGCCTGCTGCGGATGCCACGTAACCTGATATGGTGACACTCGTCGACAAAGTCGACAGCGTCGACATCGGCCACATCGTCGACATCGTTGCCGCGGCTGCAATCTAATTTATGACTTAATTATCGGGCCATATTTAATGTGTCCAATAAACTAGTCTACAAAATTATACCAACACATCGTTGTTTAGGCCTGTTGCCACTTGCCTCACTTGCCTCTCTCTCTCTGCTCTGCCCACCTCCTGCTGCTGCTTGTGGCTTATTAGGCTTTTGGTTTATGCGTGGCCGGGACAGAACTTGAATTCGCAACTCGGTGGCCTCCTTTAGTTTTGCGGCCATCAATTTGCTTTTAAATGCAACAATTTGGTTTCCATTGCGCCGGATCTACAGACGCATTCGCAGCTTCTCCTCACTCTGCCAACCTCCCACTCCCCACTCGCGATGGTCCACGTCATCGTCACTGCATGCAGTCAACGTTTTTGTTTTTGTTTTTGTGTTTTTGGGTTGGTCTCCGACTCTTGCGGTGTCTTGAGTCTTGAGTCTTGGCGTCCAACTTCGTTGCCTGAGCAATAAAAATTTCGTGAAGTGGCAATAAAATTCCATTTAAAATGGCAGCGATTATGTCTCAACAGACCATTAAAGTCACTCAAATGACAACTACTACTTAGGCACACTCACACACTCTCAACTGCCTGTTTTATTTTGTTTTTACTCTTTTTTTTTGCTTTTTAATTTCTCGGATCGTCGATCGCGACATCTGTCGGTGCCGGTCTTCGCACAGTGGGACTTATTTAACGGCTCACGTTTATTACCATGGGCCAAATGACCAGAGAGCGCGTTTCGTTTCTGAAATATTGACAGTGTCTGTAGAGCGTAACAGATGTTATCTATTTCAAATAAATATTCAAACAGTTCTATTTTACATTTATTTATTAATTAGTTTGGCCCACTTGTGCTTGTTTTGTTAATACACTGGCCAACAAAATTGGACACTCCAAATGTTTCCCAAATGAGTTGAACTACTTTCAGATGCCATCAACAAATTAGTCACTTAAATAACTGAAATGATGAGGGCACTCAGGTGCGGTCGGTAGAAATATGGATATATTTTTATAACAATTTAAAACAATGAATTTGTTTATTGAAATGCATTTTGTTTCTTCAGTAAATAAGAAATAGATTGGCTTCCCTGCGAATTTATTTACACTTGTATTTTAATCTATTTAATTTTGTTCTAGAATCTATTTATATTTAATAGAATCTATTTATATTTAATACATAACTAAAACGGTTTTGATTTATTATTTTGTTTTATAAATATTTATTATTTTGCGGAGATAACTTGAAGGAGAACTGTATTCGGTGAGCCGGTATCCAAAGGTATCCAAGGTATCCAAATAAAAAAAATAAATAAAATAAATTATTAATAATTTGATTCTTTACTTTCTGGTAAGGTATCTTATATATATATATTTCTGTTAAGCTATATATATATATATTTTTTTTTATTTATATTATTTTATATTATCTTATATCTATATATTAACATATTAATATTTACGCATAAGATCTTTGCATAATGTGCATGGTCCTTTGAAGCTTATAGAAAATATTTGAACTTTTGATTTATATAAAAATTAATAATAAAAAAAAAAGATTTTTTAAGTATATTTATAATTTAAAAATATTACTGAGTTCAACTACGCAGCATAAACTCTACATTTTGGTTTGGGACCCACAATAACCAAGTAAACATATTTTCTGCTCTATTAAAAGAGTCGTTTTATTTTCTGTACATTTGGCTGAACTAGGAGTATTTTATTTATCACCTCTTGTCCACAGCTAAAGCCAAAAAGAAACCGGCGGAAGGTTAAGGTGCATGACATGCCCTTAGTCCACCAGCTAGAATATATATACTTGAGATTTATTTTAAAATTTGAAATTTTTTTAGAGTATTCCCAATTTGTAATAAATTTTTTAATAATGCATAGAGCATAAATTCAATTATTTTACTCTAAATTTATAAAACATATATTATAAAATACATATTTTTCTTTTAAATGGTATTTAGAAATAATAATAATAAATGCATTTGGAAAACAGAAATTCTAATAGAAATATGAAAAACCTAACTGAAATAAAATATTTTAAATATATATATACTCTTATGTATGTGTATATATGTCAAATAACAGTACAGGAACATAGATAGATAAGCAGTTTAGCAAGTTCGCAGCAGACTTTACTTTGAAGTCATAAATTGAATTAGATGGCAGTCGCTGCTGTTATATAGATACATTTTTAGAGTCTGTGAATACCTATTTCCTGCTGACTATACGCTTATACGTTTTTTTCCCTTTTGATGGCTATCGGGGTGCAGTTCAGACGCTCGTTTGGGCCAAGTACGTAACATGGATGATGATTATGGCTGGCTTCCTGACCATTTTCATGCACTTTAACGGCGTATGGTGAAACAACGTTTAGATAAGAGGGTTTTCAGCCAATGTACATAGAGCAGGAGCAACTCTACTCTCTCCCTCTCTCTCTCTCTCTTTCTGTCTGACTGCGGCATGAGCACAGTGTATGCTTCCTTATTTGCGTGCTTGGGTGTCTCCTTTCAAGTGGCATGAAAATCTTCCATGAAATCCAGGCAAATGGAAATTTAATATAATTGGTTTGAGAGGGCTGCAGACAAAGGAAATTCAATGCCATAATTTGGCATTCAAGTGGCTGAAAACACCAAAGACAACAACAACAGCAACGATAATGCTACGGCTGCGTTCATGTGACGAACGAAGTTGATCCTCATTAGTGGTCACATGTCAGAGCGGGTCGCATTTGCTGCATAATTTTGTCATTCATCATTTTTCGCCCATTTCATTTTATGCTGCATGCCAAAGGACTCGTATTTCACGCTCTCCCCCGTCTCACTCGCACTCATGCCATAAAAAAATCTTTCAACTCCTGTGACATGTGACAACAATGTGGCCCGCTGTCATTGTCATCGTTGTTGTTGTTGTTGTTGTTGTTGTTGTTGCTGTTGGTAGCTGTTGCTGTGACACATTTGTTTTCCTGCTGACTGCGACATTGTGTGGGAGCGAGGTGTGATTTTCAACAAGTTCGCTTTTTGGATCATGTGTTGCTGTTGCGAGTACCTTCTTTTGTAGTTGTTGTTGTTGTTGTTGTTATTGTGTTCTGCATGTTTTTGATGATGATGTTGTTCTGTATTTTGGCTGCTTTCATACGCATTCTTTCGAGCGTAAGCCGTGTGATATATCACGCCCCAGACGACACTGACTGATGACTGACGGAACGCTGGAATGATGACTGACTACCTCTAATGACAAAATGAGCTGGTCAGCTACTGTCAGCACACAAGTAGACACATATACAAGCATGTATGTACACACGTGTGTATACCTAAACAGTGAGGTAATAACTTGAGCAGCCCAGCTGGAGGTTAAGCTATCGTTGACTACGACCTAGGAAGAGTATAAATAAAATGATTAAATAAAATAGCTAAAAAAATTGTGTAAAATGCCAGGTTAAAAATGCTTACTTTACAGTGTTACAGCTCCTATGTCTTATACCATTCTCTTATAAATTTGTGACGCGTTGCAATTCTTATATCAAACTCAAATCTCGTATTCTTTTCAACTTTTCCAGCTACGTCTTTGAGTGGCTTGAGCTCTTTGACTTGCAAAGTTTTCATAGAATTGAATTATATATTTTTTTGTGGAAAATGTATATTTACCGTTTCAATCGATGTCGTGTGTGTATGTCGACTAATTTGTAAACGGAGCTTATTGAATAAAAAGAGCTAAAGAGAGGCAAGTTCTACCGGAAGCATATTACCTTTTGATTGGAGATGAAAAACAGCTGCTGCTAAAATTATTTAACTATGTTAAGTATATAAAAAATATTGTTTAAACACAAGAAGATGCATAAGATAAATATTAATAATTTGCTCTTGGAAAGGGTTATCAGTAAAATAAGAAACAATCACAATTCAGTATAAATAAAACTCTATGGACATCATTAGAGCTGAGCTTAACAGTAAACATCAATATTTCAAATGTGGCAATTTCTAATCAAGCAAAGCGATTACAAATTGCCACATTTATTTAATAACCTGACTTTGCCCTCTTTAAAGGTTCAACTTCAGCTTTTTATT